TCTGTTTGCGGACTAGTCAAACTAAAAATAGTTTTATTTGTAGGAATCTGACTTACCTGTTGTGCCCGAATGTAAAGTCTCTGAAATGGCCACCAATTGGTCTGTGCACTACACTGCGGTAGGCACCCAGAGTGCATTAGTGCARATTGTGTACATGGTTGTAGCGTATGAGCGACGAGGAGGACACTGGAGAGGACGACCGGAGGATCTTGCGATCGGCTAGACGCCCAATTGCCCACTTGGCATTAGGACCAGAGGGCGACAGATATTTGTTCCGCCAGCTTAGGGAGAGGCAGCAGCAGCAGAGGCTAGCAGGGCACTTGTGAGTGAAGCCGCAGCTCTGGAAGCCTTGGCCACTTCTGCGCAGCAGACTACTCAGGCCGGTAGTTCAGGATCTGTAGGGTCAACGGTCGCGCAGACCCAGAGTCAGTTCATTGGTGTCATGGCAAGCCAGCCACTAGTGTTAACTTCCGATGAGATCGCCATACAACAAGCAGCATTGCAGGAGGCACAACTACAAAAGGCGTTAGGAGATATAAAAGCAGAGAAAGAAATAATGATTTGAAGAAGAGCCAGGATGCAACGGAGACAAGTGGACGTTAGTGAGTTAGAGGAGATGGACCTGACGCACGTGACTGATGAGGTGAGGACTGAATGTAGTTGAGATGCAGGACCATCAGACAGCCATCCTTCAGGACATCCAGCAAAGTCTAGCCCTGTTGGTTGGGCAAGCGCAGGCAACGTCGCCAATGTYCRGGCCTGGTGCCTGGCCCGTTGTACARCCTCCTCCTTTTGTCCCACCCGGTGACTGGGGTATCCCCATATGTAGCCCCATCATCGGTTGCGATCGTTTCCCTGTGCATGCCGCTATCAGGAGGGATCACATCAGGATCTAGTTTGCAGGTTCCGGTACAGACATTTTTCACCCAATCTCCGCTGCAGGTTGCGGTTACCACACAGCCTGYTGTCTCGCAGTCTGTACAGCCGCAGGGTACRCAGYCCCAACAGYTAGCACAACAACCTGTGTCASAGGGTCCAYAGCTCGGAGTGATGCAGGGACCGGGACAAACAYAGTGGGTTCCAAAGACAGCCATCCCCGCTCCCAAACCTTTTACAAGGGATAAGAGGGCCGAAGACCTCGACACGTGGTTGAGGGCAGTGCCAGTCTATGTTAGGTGTAAACTTACCTTGCCGCACGAAGAAGTGCTTGTGGCTGCCTCCTACCTAGAGGGTAGTGCAGCAAGATGGTTGAGTGGTTTAGTACAGCTCCAGGGGTATGGTCATGACTTCCGCGCTTGGCCAGTCACCCAGAAATTGGACGACTTCCTTAAGTTGGTGGAGAAAAGGTGGCATGATCCYCAGGAGGCCCAAAGGGCCACTGACGTGATCCTGACACTGCACACGCGGCAGTTCAAGTCAGTAAGGGAAGCCACYGACGMTGTTGARCGTCTGATCTGTGTCCCAGGGGTGCGCTATRACCCCCAGGTTCTACTCACCTCCTACCTGAGATGCTTCTCTTTGCTTCTCAGAAACCAGTTGGCAGGTGAGGCCAACATCAATATGCACAACTTTCCTTCGTTTAGCAAGAAGGCCCTAGACCTTGAGGCGAAGATAGGGCATGGACAGGCACCCACCACAGACRGAAGGAGGAAGACACTGCCTCCTAACTGGAAGGCGAAGGGTCGCATTATGTTCGTCGATAASGATGGTTCAACCATCGAATTAGACGAYAACTTCYAGGAAGGAGTAGGTTCAGAGGCAGGCAGCGTTGAAGCGTCARGGGGTGGAGTTGTCGCTGCTGTAACTCAGAAAGGTAAGGCGACCRGTAGACGCCGCGGAGGCTCCCGGTCAAGGAGTCAAGTGGACCCCAACGCTCCCCCATGGGAGAAGGCGGGTCTTACCGAGGACGTGCGGAGAGATCGGTACTCATGGCAAGCATGTATTCGTTGTGGTCAATATGGCCATAATCAGTTCAAATGTCGTAACAAGAAGGTGACCGACAAGATCCCGGCTACGATGGGGCAGGCGGTAGGATCCTCCCATCTCGTTGGTAGCAATGTTGCCAGCACTTCAGGCACTGCTCCGGGAAACACGTCGGGCCAGTAGGAATAGTATCTGTTCCTGCTAGGGTCAAGGTGGTGGTCACACCCTCACCATCTCGAGAGATGGCCCAAGCTACTGACTCCAACGTCGTCCCGCAAACACGTTCTGACCCATCGAGCCTCTGTTCGATGAATGTGTTTGAGTACTTAGAGGAGCTAGAGGAGGAGTGGTCTAGATCAGACCCGCTAGCTTCTTGGACGGCCCTAGTCAAAGCCCCGAAGGGTGAGATGTTCGTCAGCGAGGTGGTCATTGGGGGCCGCAAGGCCGGGGCCTATTATGACACTTGCTCGACTAGGAACTTTATCAGTAGCGCGTGCGTTGAGAGGTTGCATTTACAAGGGCGAGTGCAACGCTTGAATCGACCTGTGGAGTCGACCTGTGCCAACAAACAGCGTATGGTAGTCAATGACTACCTCCAGGATGTTGAGTGTTGTTTCCCGTACGCGGGAGGGGAATTGAGACATCGCGTCTCGTTCCTAGTGAGCGATGAACTCCCCATGGACATGTTGTTAGGTATGCCCTACCTCTCTGTGGCACAGCCCCAGTTTAACTGGGACCGAAAAGTGGTCAAACACACTTTGCCAGGTGGAGGGACCGCCAGATTGCATAAGTGTAAAGCTAGTAGTCTGATTGAGTCCCATGGATGCATGTGTGCGGCCGCGTTCTATAACTATTATAAGCAAAATCGGGAGGAGGGTATGTACTTAGTTTATGTCTCTGCTGCAGGCGAGCCGGTGAAAATGCCACCGGAGATAGAGGGAGTAGTTGCCAAGTACCCTGATCTATTTGAAGAGCCGACAGGGGTTGTAGAGAGGGAGGTCGTCCACGCGATAGAGATTATCCCAGGGTCTAGNGGAGTAGTTGCCAAGTACCCTGATCTATTTGAAGAGCCGACAGGGGTTGTAGAGAGGGAGGTCGTCCACGCGATAGAGATTATCCCAGGGTCTAGTATTCCGAAGGGTAGGATCTATCGGATGTCTCCAGGCGAGCTCGACGAGCTTTGCCGACAACTCAAGGAACTCGTAGAGAAGGGTTGGATCCGACCGAGTGTCTCTCCTTATGGGTCTCCAGTATTATTTGTACCTAAGAAAAAGGAGGGAACTCTGAGGATGTGCATTGCCATCACTATTAAGAATAGAGAGCCCCTACCACGCATCGACGATTTGCTAGATAGGATGCAAGGGTGTCGGTACTTCAGTAAGATAAATCTGAAGTCCGGGTACCATCAGATTGCAATCCGGCCTGAGGATCAACACAAAACCGCATTTCAGACCAGGTACGGTCTGTACGAGTTTGTGGTGATGCCTTTCGGCCTTTGCAATGCTCCTGACACCTTTCAACACGCTATGAATCGGATATTCCATGACTACTTGGATAAGTTTGTCATCGTGTACCTCGATGACATACTTATTTTTAGTAAGACTGCCGAGGAGCACGTTGCACACTTGGACAAAGTCCTTAGTCTCCTGCGATRGCACAAGTTCAAGATCAACGGTGAGAAGTGCGAGTTTGGCTGCACCCGTRTCTTGTACTTGGGTCATGAGATTTTCGCAGAAGGGTTGAAGCCCGATGACGCGAAGGTGGCCAGCATTCGTGACTGGCCACGTCCTCAGTCTGTGACTGAGATGAGATCTTTCTTATGGATGACCRGCTACTATCGCAATTTCGTAGAGAACTATAACATACTCGCCGCCCCTTTGACTGATCTGACCCGCCTTGACACCCCATGGGAGTGGACTGAGAGATGCGAGGCTGCTTTCAGACATCTGAAGCATGCGTTGACGCATTACGAAGTGTTGAAACTTCCTGATCCTGACAAGCCATTTATAGTGACTACGGATGCTAGCCAATATGGCATAGGCGCCGTACTTGCACARCAGGAGGGGAAAAAGTTGCGGCCAGTAGAGTACATGTCCAAAAAGATGCCCTCTCAGAAGTTGGCTAAGTCCACCTAAGAGAAGGAACTCTATGCGGTTTACAAGGCTCTGACCAATTGGAGACACTATCTCCTTGGGAGGTACTTCATCCTCAGGACTGATCATCAGACACTGAGATGGATGAGAACTCAACCGGTGCGCTCTGACACTCTGAAGCTTTGGATCGAAGTCATAGAGCAGTATGACTTTGAGCCCCAGTACATCAAGGGTGAGTACAACAACGTTGTTGATGCGTTGTCCCGTAGGCCAGATTTCTCTGGTGCATTGATCACTGAGTTTGGGCTTGCGGACAATGTTACTCAGTCCATGGTGGAAGCCTATCGTGAGGATCCGTTCATGTTCGAGATCATCCGCAGACTCGAAGCGAAGGACAAAGTGACTTCTGCTGAGTTTGAGTTGGTCAACGGCTTGCTGTTCCTCGAGAAGGCTGGGAATAAACGTTTGTGTGTCCTAAATAGCGAGTGTTTGCGTAGTCTGTTTTTAGGAGAGTGCCATAATGCCACCGACCATTTTGGGTACAAGAAGACCGCAGCCAATCTGCTGCAGCAGTTCTGGTGGCCCACGATGATGCGAGATGCCCAGCTGTACGTAGAGACTTGTCAAGTATGTCAGAGGGACAAGCCACGTACGCAAGATCCTCTTGGGCTCCTGAAGCCCCTTCCGATTCCGGAAAGGCCTGGTGAGAATTTGTCCATGGACTTCATGCATACGCTGGTCACCAGCAAGAGTGGGATGAGACACATCTTCGTTATCGTGGATAGATTTATTAAGTATGCTAGGTTAGTAGCAATGCCGGAAACAGCAAGGACGGAGTATGTGATTAGAATGTTCAAAGAGAACTGGGTTAGAGAATTTGGTTTACCAAAGTCTATTATTAGTGACAGGGATGTTCGATTTACCAGCGAATTGTGGAAGGCCGCTGCTGCAGAGCAGGGAACCCAGTTGCAGATGACTTCTGGGAATCACCTAGAGGCCAACGGCCAGGCCGAGCAACTGAACCGCGTTGTACAACATCTGTTGAGGCATTACATCAAGCCCAGCCAGGTGGACTGGGATGAGAAGCTTGCTCTCATCGCCAGTTTGTACAACAATGCGGTACACAGCGCCACCGGGGTGAGCCCGAACAGTTTGCTATCGACTTTCAAGCCCAGACTACCCTTAGATTTTCTCCTTCCTGAGAATCAGTCAACTGCTGCACCAGGTACTTTAGAATTTGCTTACCGTTATGAACAGAAGATGCAGCAGGTTGTAGAATAGATGCAAAAGGCACAGGCGGCTATGATAAAATCTATGAACAAACACCGTCGTGAGTCTTCATTTCAGGTTGGGGATAGAGTCTGGGTTAAGTCCTCATAACTGGGACAGGAGCACGGGATCTCCCGCAAGCTCATGCCACAATACTTTGGACCATGGGAAGTCTTAGATATTGTTGGGACTGATCCAGATGGACCTTCTTACGTAGTCCGGATCCCTGGTCATCTCCGTACTTACCCTGTCTTTCACGCCTCCAAGCTTGCAC